TACACATAATACTACACATAATACTACACATAATACTACACAGGGAGCAGCAGAGTCTGGGGTTAATATGTAAGAAACTATGAGTTTAAATGAATAAAAACAGCCTCAATGAGCATTCTATATATTATATATTATTCTGCTTTATCTCATTCATAAAGCCCTTTGGAGTTAATGAGTGTATTCATTCATGTGTTCACCTGAACGTTAACACAGAACTACAGCCTGGTGTTAATACCTCTGTTAGCACCAGGCTGTAGTTCTGATCTCTCTCCGTGGTTTGTTCTGTAAACATGAATGAAATCACTCGATAAGAGTTAATAAACACTTCACTTCTATGAGACTAAAGGTCAGCTCACTGCCAGAGCTCCGCTTTTACTGCTGGTTAGTTAACTAGTGGAGCTCAACTAGCTTTAAACCAGCAGGAGAGTAAACTAACTAAGTAAAGTAACGTAGTAAAGTAACTCAATAAACTAACGTAGTAAAGTATAATGTAGTGAACTATAACGTAGTAAACTAACGTAATAAACTAACGTAGTAAAGTATAACTTACCTGCAGCAGCAGCAGCTGAGTTGTGTACGTCACCACGGGGACGAACGGTTGCCTCTGTAATGAACCATGACGGCCGGTTGCCATGGTAACACAGTGACCTCAGTTTTTAACTGTGAAGCTGCTGAAGAAATAATAATATAACCTTTAATTTAATCTAGTTTAACTTTAATTATTATGATAATAATAATTATTATTATCATAATAATATATAATATATAATTATATAATAATATATAATATATAATATATAATAATATAATAATATAATAATATAACCTTTAATTTAATATCATAATAATAATAATTATTATGATAATAATATATAATATATAATTATATAATTATATAATTATATAATAATATATAATATATAATATATAATAATATAATAATATAATAATAATAATATTTTTTACGCTGCCATCTTAGTAAAAATTAATACTATTATTCTGGCTAAATTTTGGTTAAATAAATAAATACAATAAAAATGAATAGAAAATACAAACAGACAGTAGATGATAAAATAATGAAATTAAAGTACAAAAAAACAAAACAGAGACAATTAAAAATAAAAATAAGAATAATAATTGGTAATATATATATATATCTATATATCATAGATATATAAATATATACTGTATATATTATATAAAGAAAAACATTAAATATAAGACAAATTAAATGAATAGGTTGTCATCTGTGGTTTAAAAATGTTAATTATTATTCCATAATAATAATTCATAATAATATGAATCAATAATTTTAAAGCATATAAAAAAGGACATAATTCTGTGTATTTAAAAACCAGCAGTAGAAGATCTGAGAGCTCATGAAGGATCATAAAATGACTCGGTAACATGTGAACATGTGAACATGTCTATTGTTGGCTTGTTCACCCAGAAGCATCCTGGAGTTGCTGCAGTAATATCATAAAGTCTTATCAGTAATATCAGTCGTATTAGTTGCACCTGGTGGTTTCCCTGCTGTGATGAATCTGTTGCTCATGAATGCGTATTGAATAATTAACCCTCCACTCACCTGTAACAAGTTTGAAATTGGATGCTGACCTCTTAAAAGAAGGTTCAGCGTGTACACGTACCCATCAGGAAGTCCAGGACGACCAGGTCCATGAAGTCCACCAGTCGGGTGCCTCTGTCGTAGGGGGGGGTCTTTGTCACCGTGGAGCAGTAGTCTGGTTCTGACTCCCACCTGAAACACACGACTCGCCACAATAAAACGTTTCTGAACCAAAAAATACTCACGTCAACATGTAGGTGTTTACCAACATCACAGTGTTTCAACCACTGGGGGAGCTGCTGAGCGTCCTCATTCAGAACTAGATCATATTTTAGGTTGAATTAAGTGCGATACTTCTGGTTTCACATGAACTGTGTTTGTTTGACCATCAATACCTCTCATCCTCTAATGTGTGATCCGTCAAATACCAACAAGAGAAAACACGATCCCTCCAAATAATAATTCAGTTTCCTTGTTTTTGAATGAAGGTAGAACAGAACCTGTTTCTGTCAACGGAGTCTGGTGTCTTTGAGGAGATCGTAGATGACGGTGAAAATATTCTAAATACAGCGTTAAATTAAACTGATATTGACTCTCTTAGGCATCTGGAATACGTCTAAAGCAGCACATTGCTTTGACTGACTGGAGAACCTCATAAATAAACATCACTAAACATAATATAATTATAATAATCCAAACGTCCCTTTAAGTTCTGTTAAAGGAAACCAGTCCTCCTGTGGTGCTGTAAGGAGATCCATGTTTCTGATAGATCTGCCCACACGTGCAGTTTATTAAACAAAGACGTTCATTAATGATGATTAATTAATGCAACACACGTGCAGCTGGAGCACCTTTGACCTCTTGTGAAAAACTAAACTATCATCTGAAGAAATAACATTTAGGAGCATGTTTTATATTTGCCCCTTTCACAATATTGTTTTAAGTACTGGATCTGTTTGTTTACCATATTTAACTGTACATTTTAATATGTTTCTATTTTTAAATGATGTCTTGATTATTGCACTGCTCATTGTTTATTGTTATGCACCGTTCACCAAGTCAAATTCCTTGTATGTGTGACGCACTCGGCAATAAACGGTTCTGTTATTATTATTATTGTTATTATGGTTTCATATTTGGGTTATTTACATTCGAGGATTCAAGGACAATTTACTGTCAACGACATCCAGTTGCATCTCTGGGCAATGCAGTCGACATATGAACATTAGGAGCATCAGTGATGTTGACCCGCTTTGTCCTCACACTGACTCACGTTGCCAGCTTGCTCCGGCTGTAGGAGCGTCTCCACGGGGACCTCCAGGTCCGGCGGGACTCCAGGGACAGATCGGGCAGCATGACGGCCAGAGAGGCCTCCAGGCTCCTGGGGCGACCACACACAGCGTGCTCTGTGGAGCAGTAGTAGGAACACTTGCCGTAGAAACACACGTTGCCCACTAGGGGGAGCCAGAGAGGTGCAGATGAGAGAGAGAGAGAGGAGACAGGTGAGAGAGAGAGGAGACATGTGAGAGAGAGAGGAGACAGGTGAGAGAGAGAGGAGACAGGAAAGAGAGAGAGAGGAGACAGGTGAGAGAGA